ACATAGGATGTAAAAGATCTCATCAAGGATAACTACAAACCACTTATCAAGGAAATAAGAGAGGACACAAACAGATGGAAAAAATTCCATCCTCATGGTTAGGAAGAATCAATATTGTGAAAATGCCCATACTACCCAAAGTAATTTATAGATTCAGTGCTATCCAATGGCCTCCTTCACAGAACTTGAAAAAACCACTTTAAACTTCATAAGAGAGCCTGTATAGCCAAGACAATCCTAAGCAAAAAGAACAAAGCTGGAGGCATCATGCTACCTGACTTCAAACTATACTACAAGGCTACAGTAATCAAAACAGCATGGTACTGGTACCAAAACAGACATATAGACCAATGGAACAGAGCAGAGGCCTTGGAAGCAATGCCACACATCTACAACCATCTGATCTTTGACAAACTGGATAAAAACAATTAATGGGGAAAGGATTCCCTGTTTAATAAATGGTGTTGGGAAAACTGGCTAGCTATATGCAGGAAGCTGAAACTGGACCCCTTCCTTACACCATATACAAAAATTAACTCCAGATGGATTAAAGATTTAAACATAAGAACTAACACCATAAAAACCCTAGAAGAAAACCTAGGCAACACCATTCAGGACATAGGCACAGGCAAGGACTTCATGACTAAAACACCAAAAGCATTGGCAACAAAAGCCAAAATAGACAAATGGGATCTGATTAAACTTCAGTTTCTGCACAGCAGAAGAAACAATCATTAGAGTGTACCGGCAACCAACAGAATGGGAAAAAATTTTTGCAATCTACCCATCTTACAAAGGGCTAATATCTAGAATCTACAAAGAACTAAAGTAGATTTACAAGAAAAAAACCAAACCCATTCAAAAGTGGGTGAAGGATATGAACAGACATTTTTCAAAAGAACACATTATGTGACCAACAAACATATGAAAAAATGCTCATCATCATTGGTCATTAGAGAAATGCAAATCAAAACCACATTGAGAAACCATCTTATGCCATTTTTTAATGGCAATCATTAAAAAATCTGGAGACAGCAGATACTGGAGAGGATGTGGAGAAACAGGAACACTTTTACACTGTTGGTGGGAGTGTAAATTAGTTCAACCATTATGGAAGACAGTGTGGCAATTCCTCAAGGATCTAGAAATAGAAATTCCATTTGACCCAGCAATCCATTACTAGGTATATACCCAAAGGATTATAAATCATTCTGTTATAAAGACACATGCACATGTATGTTCATTGTGGTGGTGTTTACGATAGCAAAGACCTGGAACCAACCCAAATGCCCATTGATGATCGACTGGACAGGGAAAATGTGGCACATATACACCATGGAATACTATGCAGCCATAAAAAACGATGAGTTCGTGTTCCTTTGTAGAGACATGGATGAACCTAGAAACCATCATTCTCAGCAAACTTACACAAGAACAGAAAACCAAACACTGCTTGTTTTCACTCATAGGTGGGTGACGAACAGTGAGAACACTTGGGCACAGGGAAGGGAACAACACTGTCAGGGCTAGGTGGGTGGGGGTGGAAAGGAGGGGAGGGACAGTGAGGGGGCAGGTGGGGAGGATGGGAAGGGATAACACAGGGGGAGAAATGCTTGATGTAGGCAGGGGGTGGGGTGGCGGGGAATGGTGACAGCAAACCACCATGGCATGTATGTACCTATGCAACACTCCTGCAGGATGCAGGATGTGCACATGTACCCCAGAGCCCAAATACAATAAAAAAAAGAATGAATTTTTATTAAATATCCAATAAATAACAAGTTTAACTCATAAAAACAGAGGTGAATCTATCCAAAGCTGATGACAAGATCAGCTATCCATGGAAAGTCTGGACATGTATAAAATACAAGCCTAAATACTTCCACAAAAACTCTAGTAGATTAATATTATCAAAGACAGCTATTTCCCATGAAAGAAAAGCTCTTGATGATAGTTTGAGAGCTCTGGCTGAGAGAAATCTCAGTAACCTAAAAAGAGAGATGAAATCAGACAAAATGTATTATGGAAGAAGTTAAACATTCCAAAAGGCATACTTACGTCTCTGATGTTGGAAATGAGGTATTTGGTAGGGCCTGGGAGAACCACCAGGAAACCACCACTCTGGTTGGCCAGATCCTCAAGGAAAAAGGAATGTCTGGTTGTGATGGCACAGGAAGCCAGGTCCAGCATCCCACGTGAACCAGATGCCAACCTCCTGGGGTAAGGACTCTAAGGCAGGATTCCTTCATCAGACCACCTTCATCCTCTACAAGGGCACGCCAAAGCACTTCCTGGGGCTCTCTGAACTGGCGGACACTTGAGACCTTTAGATTCAACCTTCCCCCTTGAATTGAATGAGGAGTTACTGGCATCTGGTCTCCCACCTCTACCTCGTTGTCTCATCACAGTTTAGATGTTACCAAGAACTCTCAGAAGGCATTTCCTTAAAAGAACCCTCTTCCCTTCCTCTGTTCTTGAAAGCAAGGGTAAGCCTTCCTAGGGATTCTCTCTCCACTGAGGAACTTCCCTGCCATAGCACATCCTCTATGGACAACAAGAGTTGTTTACACCAAGCTGTGGATTTAGTCTTCCCTCTATACAACCTGAAAAAAGTGAGCCACCTTCCAAGTTCATTCTGCTTTAAGAAGCCTCCTTCTGAAGGTCTAGAGCCACAGCAAGAGGCTTTTCCCCCACGAGATGAAAATAATTTTATGTGTTCTCTATTAGTTATATTGCCATGACATTATTATACAGTAGATCAAATGGAAGCTTGATATAATTCTCAGTATAATGTTTTATAATCAGAGTATTTAAATGTGAATGTCATAGGTTAATTGTGTCCATTTAATTCTACAGACATACCTTGGAGACATTGCAGGTTAAGTTGCAGATCACCACAGTAAAGTAAAAATTACATTAAAGTGAGTCACACAAATTTCTCGGTTTTCCAGTGTACAAAAGAGTTATGTTTACACGATACTGTAGTCTAGTAAGTGTGAAATAGCATTATGTCTAATAAAAACTGTACAAGCCTTAATTAAAAACACTTTATTATTAAAAAAAAAACCCTGTAACATTATCACCCTTCTTTCCTTGACCTGGTAAACATCTTTCTCGGACAAGTTCAGATTCAAACTGATAGCAAAATGAAAGGCATTTTATTGTTACTATTACTATTTTAACTTAGAGAATCAGTGCATAGGTCACTCATGGGACAACAGAAGTATAAACACCGCCTGGGTCTGCAAGATCATTTGTGCAGCCCACATTAGTCTCTGCACCACATTAGTCAAAGAAAAACAAGTGAGAATTGATCTGAAATGTGTGACCCGTGAGCAGTTAAGCTCACTTTTTAGCTTTCATCCTCAAAATAAATGCAACAAAGATGTTAGACATGTCAGTGCCCAACCAAAAATGATTCAGCATGGTGTTTGTAAGCTATTTCATACCCTTTGCTTCCTTATCATTGCTGTAGTTTTACAAAGGCTGAAATGGATGAAAAAAATAATAATATCTCATTTGTTATAAAAAGATAGCAAAAATCTAATGATGGAATCATTTTTAAAATCCAGGTAATGACACAATAGTTGAAATTAAAATATGTGAAGCACAAAAGGAAGTGTGGTTCAATAGAACAGAATGCTTTTAAATAATTTAAAGAAAATAAATCATTTTGAACTCCACTGTTTAGTATTTATATATTTGCATACATAAATTAGACATATAATGTTGCATATATATGGCATCCATCATACTGTAAGAAAAAAAGAATAATTTCCTTTAAATAATTTCAGAAAAATCTTTTGTTATCTGGCAATCATCATATAAACTTTTGATGAGAGTATCTATAACAGAAACAGATATACAAGACACTTAGAAAATGGGTATATATGAATGAAGGGACTCCATTTAAAACACTTAAAACAAGAAGAGCACTAAGAAAGCAATAATGAAGATGAGAAACTCTGTTGCAGAAGCAATTTCCAGGAAGGAGTCAATGTCAAGGAATCAATGTTAAGTGAAGAGTTGATATATGCCAAAATTTTACATTTATTATCTCATTAAATTTTTGCATTCCACAGTCTACAGGGCCCTGCAGATCTCATCCCTCTATCTTTCATTGTCACCTCTTGTCACTTTCCTCACTTTGTTCAGTCCAGCCTTAACAGCCTTCTTTGAGCATCTATAAAGTGTAGGGCTCAGTTTCTGCCATTTGTCAAGGTCACACAGCCAGCAAAGGACAGTAATATCATGCTGGTATTATTTCATCCCTTTACTCCTTAATTTTGGGTGGTGGTGGAATACTTTTTATTGTTAAAAACAGAGCCAAAGGCTAAAGTCTAGCTCTCTAGGGAAAAGGGGGCACAAAAGGACCCCAATGAAGAATATTAATTTCTCACCTGAGTTTCAAGGTAGGCTTTTTAGTCTGTGACGGAAACAATAATCTTAAAAAGAAAAATCTTCATATTGAAAGAACCAAGTTCTAGGAGGAAAAAATGTTCTCAGTTTTTTTTTCTTTCAGCTCTAAAGCTTGTGTTTGAATAATCACAGCAAAATCAAAAATATTATCAGCTTTTTGGGGGGCTTTGTGTCAAAATTTTCATAAGCCTTTAATACCTATTGAATCATATAATCTTCACAATGTTCCATATGGTGTAGATACTTTAATTATCCCTATTTTTACAGATGAGGATATGGGCATAAGAAGATTTAAAAAAAATACTTGCTCACAGTCACATAAATAGAAAGTAATTATAGAGAAGCCAAAGCCTGGGGACCTAGCATAAAACCTATTCATGATTCACCGTGGAGAAATGAGTGGATGGTGACATGTAAGAGCTGGTTTCTCTTCCAAAAGGAGAGAAGAGTTCAGCAAATAAGTGGAAAAAGAGAATCAGAGGGGCCTTCATGACAGCTGAAAACCCCCTTGGATGATTGAAATTAACCTAATCTCTGCCCCCCTCTTTCTCTCTGAGCACTCACAAGCACTCACAAGGCCATAATGTCAAGGTGTAAAGTCAAAGGGAAAGCAGCATGGCACAACAAGGGGACAGGTTGGCATATAAAACTGCAGATAGCCCCTCAGATTCCCTTGTTCCCTGGTATGGCACAGGAGAGCACAAGGAAGTTTTTCACATCCCTTCATAGGGCTGTGATGTAGGTTTGCTGAGGTCCACAGATGAGAAGTGGACCTGGGATTGTACAAAGGGAATTAGTTTTCTCCCGTCTGACTTCTATGCAAGGAAATAATCTCAAGATAAGTTTTTGGTATAGACTTTTATATATACTGATGATCCTACCTCATGGCAGTTTAAATATTGTTAGTGAAACTTTGCTATCTATGAAAATGTAGCCATAACTCACTAAAATATATTTTTAAATACAATATTTGTTTACTCAGATTTAATTTTGCCATATGTATATCTGATTACTTGAAAAAGTAAGACAGGCCGGGCGCGGTGGCTCAAGCCTGTAATCCCAGCACTTTGGGAGGCCGAGGCGGGTGGATCACAAGGTCAAGAGATCGAGACCATCCTGGTCAACATGGTGAAACCCCGTCTCTACTAAAAATACAAAAAATTAGCTGGGCATGGTGGTGCGTGCCTGTAATCCCAGCTACTCAGGAGGCTGAGGCAGGAGAATTGCCTGAACCCGGGAGCAGAGGTTGCGGTGAGCCGAGATCACGCCATTGCACTCCAGCCTGGGTAACAAGAGTGAAACTCCGTCTCAAAAAAAAAAAAAAAGTAAGACAACTGGCTATATTAGTTTCATCAGCTACATAAAATGAAGAAGCATGGCATATTTCATTACCCAGAAGAAAGGTGACCAACATTTGGATTTGCCTGGGACTTCCTCCGTTTTAAAACTGAAAGTCCAGAAGAGCTGGAGACCCTCAGTCCCTGTAACCAGTATGCCATGTAGAAATCACAAGCTTTCTAGCATTAAAAGCATGTAAACAAAGATGTTAGTCATTATGAAGACAGATGAGTCACCCCCAGTCTCCTGGTTTTAGCTTTAGAATATAACAGTATTATTTCTTAAGCTCTAAGTCAGACCTGTGGAGGACTTCTTGACCCAGGTCATTGAATTGTGGATTTGAAGATTTTCTTAATTTTTTTCTAAGTGAAATACCAAACCTCTGTGAGACACCAAGAGCTAGGATAGAAAGAGCATCTGCAGTAGCATTGCTGATCACGCAGGTGTAATATAGGAGCAGGTACTCTTGGCTCCTTTGTGTCAATGTGGAGGGCAGAGGACAGGATAAGTTAACTCTCTGACAGCTTCCTTCACCTTGGCAGCAGCCAGGATCCAGTATTTGGAACTCTCGTGTCAGCTCTTATTAATTCCCCCAGCAGTCTTTGGCATAGTCAATCACCATTTCAAGCTCTCAGTCTGTCAACTCTGGATAATTCTTAGCTATTGCAATGCTGTTAGGGGAATTGATTAATACTTATTAGCACATTTTAATGGGAAAATGCAATATAAATATTGTTGCATGAACTGAAAAATAGTTTCCTGCATAATATGTACAAGGAAAATAAGTCATGGACTATAGCGGCTTCTTGGGAGAGTTTTAAGTGGTGATCACTTATCTGCTGCTTCCCTATTCATCTTTAATAACTTTAGTGCTTTTGTTATTTAATGTTCTCAGCAATAATTTCTGCTAAATTAATTTTATTATTGTTGTTACATATTGATGTATTTTGTTTCTTGTTAAGTTCAATACATTTCTTTGTTTCCAGTTAGAATTTGTAAATCACTGACTATGATTTTCCTCCATTAAAACTTGTCTGATATATTAGGAAGATTTTTCATTACTTAAGAATAATTGCTGAAACTCATCGCTTAAGAAAATAAATATTTCTCTAGTCAAGTTCATTGCACATCAAATTTCTGTTACATGAATTTGTGCTTCATTCTTGAATTTGTAAGTATAAAATTAGAAGTATATTTGACTGGAAGTAAGTGGGATCTGGAGTATAATAAAATTATACTTAAGTATTTGGTTAAGTTTATGAATCATATAAAACACAAGTAATAAATACCTTTCTCATAAAAATGTAATATATTAGTACAAACCTTCAAAAGATTTATAATGATCTTTTTTGACAAATGGTAAAAAATAAATACACTAAATGTTGAAGGATAGTCCAGTTCAGAATTTTATTTAAAAAATTCTTCTTCATATACCATTATAGCAGGGAGGCAGTAGTCATTTTAACCATTTAATATTTAACAGTTTAACTTCTGTATCATGTCTAAGCTCAAGATGATCACTGCAAATGTTTCTCACAAGTCTTATATTTCCATCCTATATAACTCTTTCCAGCCACAACTGCTATTTTAGTTTAGACACTGACAAGGTCTAGCACATTGCCTGCCGCCACCAAATGTTATGCCATATAAAGCTGATAGCCATTTCAGACTGAGTGTCTTGGGGCATCTTAGTAGAATCAGCACTGATTCTGGGACTGGTTCTCAATAATGCATGTTTAGCAACTTTGTAAATATCAGATTACCCAGAAATTATCAAATTTATAAAATATATTTTAGTTAATCAAATTTACAGGTGTATTAGTTTGTCCTTACACTGCCGTAAAGAAATACCCGAGACTGGGTAATTTATAAAAGAAAGAGTTTTAATGGACTCACAGTTCCACATGGCTGGGGAGGTCTCAGGAAACTTACAATCATGGCCGAAGGCAAAGGGGAAGCAAAGACGTTTTTTACACATCGGTAGGAAAGAGAGAAGTAGCAAAAGCAGGGGAAACTGCTTTATAAAACAATCAGATCTTGTGAGAACTCATTCACTATTACAAGAACAGCATGGGGGAAACTGTCCTCATGATCCAATCAATTCCCACCGGGTCCTTACCTCAGAACATGGGGATAATGGGGATTACAATTCAAGATGAGATTTGGGTCGGGACTCAGCTGAACCATATCACAGGGGAATGATTTATCAAACAGAGTGTCAAATTATTCATTCCTAAAAATAAGTATACTTGGCAGAGCTGGTAAGACACATTCAGAAGAAATATAGAATATAGAAATATAGAAATTGGGTGTATCAAGCAGATGATCAGCTCACCCTAATATATCAGTGTGACTCTTTCTCCTTCTTACCAAAATTCTGAAATACTAACTAGTAATTAAAATCAGAGTACAGTGTAGATATATTGATATGTTCTTCTGGTGCCACTCTTCTCTTTCAATATTTTAAATGCCACACATACACATAAAACTTTTTTATAATTACATGACAAACTTCCTCATGGCAAACATATTATATTTTCTAGCATCCATTTCAAAGGGATATTTTCTTTTCCAGAGCCACCCCAAGCCTTTTGCTAATATTACCAGCAGTTTACTTACTATTTGCTTAGATATTTTTCTTCCCTCTTATACTTTCCACAGACATCTCACCTTATCTAGGTTATCAGTTAGTATGGGTTAGGTTAAACTCCTGCAAGAACAACCCTTAACTCTCTGAGGTCTAAAATAACAAAGGTTATTTTTCAATTAGGTTATATGTACCTATCAGGTCAGTGGAAGCTCTTTTCCATGTTTTGCTTAGCCAACAATGCAGGCTAATAGATTACCCCTCATCTGGAACATTGTCATCACCAAAGGGGAAGGAAACATGTAATTGCACACTTCCTCTGAAAGGCATCGTGTGTGTGTGTGTGTGTGTGTGTGTGTGTGTGTGTGTGTGTGTGTTTGTTTAACCCAGAAGTGATGTAATCAGTTCTAACAACATTTCATCAGTCAAAGCAAATCATATGTCTTTGCTTATCTTTAAAGGGATAGGAAAGTACAATTCTGCCATATTTTAGAAGAGGAGAACTGGAAATATCTTTGAATAGCAACAGTGAATACTATGTCTAGTCATTTTGATTAATATTTTTATTTTTAAAGAGTGACATTTTTTACCTCATTCTCAAATTCAGGACTCAATCACTCAACATATATTCATTTAAGCCTCAATTTTTTCAGTGTTCTTTCCCAAGCACTGTGGGTGATACAAAGATGAAACGAGTACAGATCTAAAGACTCTTGTGTATAAAAGAGTGCAATAGCCCTCCTTGATACTTCTGCTTCATAGCTCTTAGTGAGATGGTTATTAATTATTTCTATAATTATTTGTCTAATGCTATCTAATGCTCTACTAGTTTTACAAATTCTATTTAGGATACAGGCTGTATTTCATTTCGTGACTACATCCTTAACAACAAATACCCTGCCTGATACCTAGCAGGGGATGTTCAACAATTATGTGTTGAATAAATTATAAAAGAAGAAAACTATTATGGTAGTCACAGAGGGAGACACTGTTTCCAACAAATTTATGCCTTCTTTAGATTTGTACCTCCTTTTGCACTGACAATATTTATGTGGTCACATTTCTGTTTGCAATGAGAGAGACTCTCCTTGCATGGGAGAGACTATGTTTATTTTATTTGATTTTATATCCCCAAGCACTAGCCGAGTGCCTGACACATAGTAGGAGCCCAATAAACATTTGTTGAATCAGTGAAGCAAAGGAGGTAAGCCTCAAGAACTATTGAAATAAATAATTTTTAATAGGCAGGCACACCAGAGTGAGCTTTCTTTAATTGTCTGTTAATAACATGTCGTTTAATGTTTTAAAGCACTGACAGGTTAGCTGATAAGTGTTTTTGTCGTCAAACAAATCTGACTGCATCTGATACAAACTGTGCAATGAAGTTTCAGCAGATGACCTCCAGTGGCTGAAGATGGCACATTTGCTGGAGGCCACAGTGTAGAAAAATGAGGTTTTTCACATTCTGTAAATGTAGGGCTAGGTTTGTTGAGTGGATTTGTAATTCAATGAATATATTTTCTTTCAAAGTTTGATGTTCTGAAATTTCAATTGACTGTGAAGGTATAAAAATGTGTACATGAATACTTTCCTTTGTGAAGATGAGTATAGCACATATTACAGACTTTCTGTGCTAAAATGAACCAAATGCATACATATCATTATGTACATAGGGGACAAGGGTATGACTTGTGGTTTAACTTTGAGGAAAAGCAAACTGCCTTCTAATAGGCTTTTATTATATACTGACCATGTTTACTTTGATGATTCAGCAAGAAATTATAAGCCCCTAAGACTTAGCTACTTTTCCAAAATAAGCTACTCAATCTTCCAAGGCCCAGGACACCAATTACATGTGTGCCATACATGACAATATGCGTGATAAGTTTAACAGATTTTCAATAAAAACATTGCTAAAACATCGTTATTATGAACTTCATTATTAAAATGCCAGGTACTTAAAATGTATCTAAGAATCCTAAAGATAATTTTATTATTTTTGAGTTTATTATAAGTGTCTGCATCTGAGTAAAATATTTCTTCAAGTTTAAATAGTAGGGATTTATGAGGATAATAAGATTTTTTTTAAATCAAGAAACAAATTAAGAGCAATATGTAAGAACATGAAAACAGTTAAACAATAACCATTAATATGAACAGTACAAATCTCAGTGTTGTTATTTAGTGACAGTCCAATATCAAAATAAAGAATGCAAAGTATACTTTTTACATATCAAGAGACAAAAAAAGGCCTAGCCAGACAGGAAATTCTTAAAGCTCTATCCAATTACTTGGCATGGACATAGGAAAAATCTAAATCTGGAAACTTTGCCATCAGAATTTTTTTCTTTGTTTCTATAAAAAACATGTATATATAAGAAACAGTACATTTGTTTTTGTTGTAGTTGTTGCTAATGGCTACAATTTTTACAACGTGAGTGATAGAAAGTAACCTATTACATATCTATTTTAACTGGAAAATACTGATTGGATATATTACCTTTTATTTTTTTCTTCTTGAGTTAGGATTTTGTTAATACTATTGAGATTTTGCAAAAGCTGCATCATAAATGCAGCATTCTGAGAAAGGAAAGCCCACGGTTCAGGTTATATGATTTGTGGACATCATAATTCAAAGGATACAAAATAAATTACTGTTAGCACAAGAGAAACCTAGACTGAGAATCAGGAGCCTGGGGGCCCAGTCCTGGGATTTTGTATGGGACACATTCTACATAAAAACATTCTTTGGCCACATCCTTTTCTTCTTCCACTCCCTGAGTTCTTTATCCAACCGTCCCCTAACCCCACCACCTATGCTAGCCAAGAATTGTCCAGAATCTGCTCTTGACTGGACTTCTTGAGAAGAAGCAGCTGTGTGATAACGAGAAGATTCTCTTGTAGAGGGTTGGTTATTTCTGATTTTAATGTCATTAATAGCTATGACCTGAAGCAAGTCACTTTAGCAGTTTTTTTTTTTTTTTTTTTTTTTTTTTTTTTAAATAATGGGCTGTTTCCTTAATTCTAAAATGAGATAATTGGCTAAGTTGGTCTTTAAAATCTTTTTCAGAGTGAAAAATCCAAGGAATTAGATAATCATGCTTTCAAATGTGAGTGATGGTCAGTGAGGATTTGCTGATGTCTCACTCAGAGAACCAAGCTATAAATTGAGTTACTAAATTCCTGCCACACAAACTGTGGTCCTACGATCAGCAGTATGGACATCACCTGGAAGCTTGTTAAAAAGGCAGACTCTCAGACTTCACTTCGGATATAGTGAATTAGAATCTAAGTTTTTATAGGATCCCTGGGTGGTTTGTGTTGCTTTGTGTCAAAGGTGAGAGGGACAGGAGGAAGCCCAAATCCCCAAGGAATTTCCCCTGACCATCTGCAAGTCTCACGAGCTTGAATCCTTTTAGTTTTCCCCTGCTCTAGTGCAGAATGGCATTCATCCTTTTTTGTTTGATCTATGAAACTAAGCAGAATTAATCCACTTTTATATCTGGATAAGACTTTCTAGGTAAACCAAGTGAGACTGGTTTTTAGTTTTTAAAACACAACAGCGCTTCTATTACCCCTGAGCCTTTATGCTTACTTTGCCTCTACTTGGGATATTTCCTATTTTTCACTTAGGTCACTCATATTCTTTCTTCAAGATTTAGTTTAGATGCCACTTCTTTTGTCTAATTGCTTCTTTATTCCCACATGACTACCTGGATAAAGTTTATCTGCTATACCTTCCAAGGTATAGCAATGTGAAAAGGGGCCCCCTATATAATTAATGGAGAAATCGTGGATCACACATAGGCATGTGCAAAATCTATTTGCTAATGTCACTGTCAACCTATGTGCCTCATAAAGACCTATTCTCAGACTTTTTAGAAACCCTTCTATATTTAAAGCAAGAGCAAGAAATTGGCTCCCCACTCCCTATATATGGGACTAGAGCAAACCTGTTTTAGAGCCAGCCACATTCTGGGGAAAGGGAAACCAGCATAAAGTGCTAGGTGCTAGAGCTCATAACAATCTTAAAAGGAAAAGACACAGTTTTAAACGTGTCTCCTGGACATTAGAGCCACTTCACCTTGCCATGGCATGAGGTGTTCACCCGCTGGAGGACAATATCTGACCAACAACATGTTGTGGCCAATATGATAACTAGAGGTAGACAAACCAAAGCATCCATCTACATTGGCATTCTAATAATTAGGAACAGTATATTCTAGTGATACATATAATTATTAATCTTTTCAAGTTTTATAATGTATTTTGGTATTTTGGAATCTTTTGACACCAAATCTTAAGACAAAATATTCTAAGATTGAAACCTATTTTATTGATTTAATGGCAGTAGTGCAGCTTTAATTTTTACTTGAGTTCATATGAATTTATAAATTGATGTTTTTCTCAGAAGAGTATACAAGTGATGGGATGAAGAGAGATAGGGAGAGGGGGTCATCTGGGGAAGCTGAGGATTAAGAAATGATGGATGGGATAGTAGTCATATGAAGAGAAATTCTGGGGAAAAAAGCAGAGATGTTTATAGACAGTTTATCAAGGATGTTTTTTCATTCAGAGTGCAAGGTAATGGTCTTCTTCACATGTACACAGAATCATAGTTTTAGCTACATATTAGGCCATGTTCTTGGAATGGATATATGGCATACAGTTTGCTTTTGTTTGGAGGAGGAAAATCAGTTGGGAATCTGATGATTTCCAAAAACTGTTTCCAGGGGCATAGGGAGGGCACAGGGGTATCCCAAATGACCAGTTACATATTTTTACAATAATGACTAATATTTTTGAGCACCTACCATGTCTTAGACTGGGAAATAAATATTTGAATGCATTTTCTCATTTAATTATCATAACAACTTTATGAAGTGCATGCTATTATTAAGAAATTATCAGCACGTAACAGATGAAGAAACTAAGGCTAAGCACTCAGTATATTATCCAGTGCCACAGAGCTAAAGAGTGCCAAGGGAATAGGAATCCACAGGCCATTCAGCCTCCCTGTAGCACTGCATGAGAACCTGTGTTCAGGGACCTTGATTAATGAGCAATAATAATAATACTTGGTTCCATTCCTTCAACTAGTTGTGATTCTGTCTGACTTTATCATTATCTAATGCACATTTAAAACAATTTATAGAGGTGGAGGTCTCACCATATTGTCCACACTGGTTCAAACTCTTGGCCTCAAGTGATCCTCCCACCTTGGCCCCCAAAGTGTTGGGATTACAGGTGTGAGTCACCATACCTGGCCAAATGCACTTTAAAAAATATTTTTCGCAGTAGTATTGAGTAAGATTTATCTTTTGATAGGAGTTAACTGCAAGAGAGGCATGACTCTGCTCATTTACTTTGCACATAGAGTTTGGAATTAGCCAAGAAATTTGAAGATAAACAGTAAGAACTATGCTGTCATACCACATATGCTCATGTTCAGTCAGCCCAGCCACCAATTTTGTATCCCAAACTTGATGAAATATCAAAAGAGAAGTGCTGGCCAGGCGCGGTGGCTCATGCCTGTAATCCCAGCACTTTGGGAGGTCGAGGCGGGCAGATCACCTGAGGTCAGGAGTTCGAGACCAGCCTGGCCAATGTGGCAAAATCCCATCTCTACTAAAAATAAAAAAAAAATTATCCAGGTGTGGTGGCGTGCGCCTGTAGACTTCTGCCTTGGGAGGGTGAGGCAGGAGAATCACTTGAACCCTGAAGGCGAAGGTTACAGTGAGCTGAGATCAAAAGAGAAGTGCTTGAGAAAAAAATCCCCAGAGACTTCAGGAGCTTCTATTTTCTATTATTTTAGGGAACCATGATAGTGTCTAACAGATTAGAGAGGCTCTGTGGCATTACTAAAATAATGTTGCTACTAGGTAGATGTGAACCTTAATTGATGAATTATCTGCTTAATAAGCAAGAACAAATCACCTGGGCAAACCGTGGATAACTATATTTTAGGAAAGACTTACCAGCTGCTTCTGGGAAACTGTATATACAAGAATATTCAGTCTTTTTGGAAAGCAAGTTCTCTAATCCCATTTGTGGATATTGCTAGAACTTTTTTCAGTATCTTACTGAAATCTAGATATTCTATGCCTATTTCATGTCTTTGACAGTGCCAAAGAATGAAACAAAAGCTTTAAAAGTTTTTTTTTTTTAAGTTGAATTGATAGGCTTGCCACTAAGGGAACTCAGTTAGGTAAAGAAATTCACTGAGTACCTATAGTTCATTGAGGGTAAAATTCATGGGTTTTCAAATATAGAAATAGTGTTTCATTATTATGCTCTTTAAGTATTGAAAGCACACCTCTGCACAGGAGAGAATGAGTCCAGCATCACATGTTGGCTGGATGTTTAATGTAGTCTGTCATCATTGGTCAGGAAAACTGCTAGAGTTATGGACATTAAGGACATGACATGCCAACACACCTCAAAATTCTTGTTCTTCAACAGTTTCAGCTGGTTAGATAGAACCAGTTGTAAAATGCGGCATTTGGTTTTGATGTTTTCTAAGTGCTGAAGTAATTAAACAGTTTTTCATTTATAATAGTAATTCTATATGAAAAAGGAAATTGAGGTTAATTTAGCATCTTTTTTTCTTTTTAAGCCCATATTGGCTTCTAATAATCATTGCTTTTCCTTAAATTCCAAGTCTCACTCACATATGTCTGGTCTTCTTTTTCCAGTCTGAGGATTATACTCTTTGGCTAAGAAAACTAGAATAAATTTAGAATTAAGTTGTTACCATCTGCTTCAAATATTAAAGGCCATCTTTTCATCATCATCACGATCATTATCATTGTTTTCCTCTGACTATAACTTAAGAGCTCCATATTTCATTTTCTTTAGTTCATTCTAACAGTTTATTGTGTGTGTGTGTGTGTATATATATATATATATATATATGGGAGTTTATTTAGTGTGTGTATATATGTATATATATAAAGAGGAGTTTATTAAATGTGTATAGATATACTTCATATATATATAAAGGGGAGTTTATTAAATATATATATTATATATATACTTCATACAGTTAACATATATTATGTATACTTAATAAGTATATATATATACTTAAACTCCCCTTTGTATATATATAAAGTATATTATATATAAACATATATATGAAGTATATATACATATATAAGCTCCCCTTTATATATATATATAGTATTAACCTACATGATCACAAGGTTCTACAATAGGCTGGCTGCAAGCTTGAGGAGGAAGGAGAGCCAGTCCGAGTCTCTAAACTGAATAACTTGGAGTCCAATATTTGAGGCAGGAAGCATCCAGCATGGGAGAAAGATGTAGGCTGGAAGGCTAGGCCAGTCTCACTTTTTCATATTTTTCTGCCTGCTTTATATTCACTGGCAGCTGATTAGATGGTGCCGAACAGATTAGTGGTAGGCCTGCCTTCCCCAGCCCACTGACTCAAATGTTAATCTTCTTTGGCAACATCCTCAGACACACCCAGGATCAATACTTTGCATCCTTCAGTCCAATCAAGTTGACCTTCGGTATTAACCATCAAAATTGCAATTGAACAAGAGTGAAAGTAGAGAGATTTCCTATGCATAGGACAGATTCTAGATTTTCCTTATGATACAGAGAAATATATAAGACATAAACTTGTCTTCAAGGACAGAGCAATATGCTTGAGGAAATAACAAAATTACATACAGTATAAACAGATATTAGACTACCTAAGATATTATAAACTTGTTCTAGATGAATGATAATCATTAGTTTTCACTCAACATACATTTATTGAATGCCCATTAAGTATGAGGCATTGTGTCAATACAGGAACAAAATAACACTACATTAAGTGCCTAAAGAGATTAGAATCAATTGATAAGACATGGAATAAATGATAAAAATGGGTATAGATTATGTTGGGAGGACACACACGAGAGAGTAATCAATTCTGTCTAATGAAGTAGTCAGGAAAGAATTAATGAAGACAGAAACATTTTATCTGATTCTTGAAAGATAGACATGAATCCATATTTATCTGGCAAGTAAGTTGGAAGATGGTAAATGTAGGAAAAGAGAGAAGTTGGTGTTATCACGTCAGGCAAAAGAAAGGGCTTGAGCAAAGGTCAACAGGTATGAAGAAGAGGTGCATGTTTGTAGATTATACGGGTTCAGAGCAAGAGTTTGGAGGAAGACTGTGGTAGAGAGTTTTATTTTTATTTTTTAATGGCTACCTAGAATATAATCCCCTTTTCTATGTGTGGGGGAATATGTCACTGAGTGAGTTGGGGAGACAGAGTCTAATTTTTTATGATAACCTTCTCCAAGCCCTACTTCTGAGGCCTAGCAGGATTTGGGGATCTTTAATTTGTCCTAGTATAAAACTGAATAGATGTGGGATTTTTTTGTGGCAGTATTCAGCACTCCAGGTATGGTAGCATGGTTCAATTCATTTAATGTTGTGTATATTAAGAGTGGGGATTGTGGGAGGTAGAAAATTCAAGGAAGACAGAAGTGATTTTTGAGTGGAATGGTTAAGGAAAGTCTAAGGAGGTGAGGGATTTTTATTCGGACCTTGAAATGCAGGCAGAAGTAAGTACACTTACTGGGAAGGAAAGTTAGCAGGGGAAGGAATACTGAGTAAAAGAATGGCAACGAATACAGGATCAGATGTGGGAACAGATGAGGCATATGGGAGATCTAATAAACCAGTCTGGCTAACATAAAGCCATAACGGAGGGGGTGTTGAAAGGGTACATCTGATAATGTGGATAAAGTACAAATTTCTTAGCCGTGAATTCCAAGTCATATCTTCCAGGCAATGAGGATCTGTTGAAGGTTATTGTGTAGGAGAGTGATTAAGATTAAGGTGGTGGCAATTTGCTATAAGGATGAGAAGAAAAGTGACTCCAGGCAGGAAAACTGGTTTAGGAGGTTGGCAAAGGAATCTAACATTCAGGGAACAATAAGAGAGGAAAGGAAGGGACTGAGAAGCAATAGACCGAATGCGTTCTCTTCTCTGTGCTCATGGCCCTTTTCACACCATGGAACTTTCACTCCCAATCATGAATATTCATATTAAAGTTTATCTTTCCCCAATGGCTTTTTCCTCCCTCCCTCTCTCTATTCCCTCCCTGCTTTTATCTCTGTCTCTTCCACACTGTTTATTTCTTTCTTTCTGTGTTAATTATTTAATTCATCATATACTTATTTACATAATGGATATTGTACAAGACACTAAAGGTTCAGAGAAGGGAATTCTGTTCTCCTTGGAAAACAAATAGGGAACAAAGATGGGCTCAACAACAAACCAAGTAGAAGTTTGTGCCAGAATTTAGGAGTGCACAGTGGCCTTTCATCTATTACGGCAGAGAAGTTGATGCATGAACCCAACCTAGAAAAATGATGAGGAAGCCATCAAGGGAGCAGGTAGAGGATGCAGAGGTGCAGCAGGGAAGAGGGCCTCAGGAGCTGCTGGTCATTTGGCGAACTATATCATAGGACCTGTGTGCAGGAGTGATGAAGCGTGATTGGAGAAGTTAGCAAGGCCTTGTGTTTCATGCTGAAGAGGTAAGGTTTATTCCAAATGTGTTGGAGGTTCTTTCAGAATTTTACATAGAAGAATAATATCAGATTTTTTAAGAATCAGTAAAACTGAGGCTTTACACTCTCGGGCTCTGGAGTCAGATTGAGAACAGAGTGTTACTTATGGTTAGCCACTTGGTGGCTGTGTGACCTTGGACAAATTATCTAACTGCTCAGCCTCAGTTTCTTCTCTAAAATACTTTTAAAAAAAATGCTACCTTTTTCATAGGCATTGTTTATTATTTGGTGAGAATTAAATGATATATTATTTGTAACATTCTCATATTTTTACTGGATATTGACAAATTATTATTGTACATTTTGTGGGGTATAAAGTAATGCTGTGATACATGTATACAATGTAGAATGATTGAATCAAACTAATTAACATATCCATAGTCTTGAATTAAATACTTATCATTTATTCCTTCTGTCTAACTGAAACATTGTGCCCCTTAATGAACATCTACCCATTCCTCCCATTCCCCAGCTGCTGGTAACCACCATTCTGCTCTCTGCTTCTATGTGTTTGATATTTTTAGCTTCTACATGTAAGTCAGAACATGCAATATTTGCCTCTATGCCTGGTTTATTTCATTAGCATAAAGTTCTTCAGGTTCATTCACGTTGTCACAGATGACAAGATTTCCTTTTTATTTGAGGCTGATTACGACCCCAGTGTGTATATATGCCATATTTTCTTATCCATTCATTAGTTGATGAACACTTAGATTGATTCCATAACTTGCCTATTGCGAATAGTGCTGCAATAAACATAGGAGTTCCATATCTCTCAGATATCCTGATTTCAAATCTTTTGGATGCATACCCTGGAGTAGAATTCCTGGATCTTATTTCTAACGTTCTTAGTTCAGTGCCTGGCACATAGAAAGCTTTCCAAACAGATAGCTACTTTTACTAGTAATGATTAGGAATGACTTATCACCTCAGTCATTGTTACTATTATAAAACCTTCTCTATAAACTATTATAAATACCACTCATCTTGGTGTGCAAGATGTTCCAGAGATGGGAATAGGCTGGAGGAAGGGAGACCAGTTAGGAGACCTCTGGAATAATCTAGGAAAGAATATTCTGTTTCTGTCTGGTGCCCAGCCATCACTCAGAAGGAGTTTAAAAAAAAGTTTATGGAATAAATGAAAAGGAACACTGAGCAGAATTCAGATTGAGGAGCTCAAAGAAATCAGAGAGCAAATAAAAGATGACTGCAAGGCTTTGAGATTGGGTGACTGGAGAATTCTGGTACTATCAACACAAAGAAACCCTCTCTCTTTCCACCCCTTGGCTCTGCGTTTTCAGGCCGTTGCTCACCTGACATCTTTGGATGGTTGGCTGCTTTTTGAATTTCACACACTTGCTCAATGACTGTGCTGTGCAGGTCTGCTGCTTTGTCTTTTTCCAGAATGCCTTGTCATAACTGTAGTAAAGGCATATCTGAATTTAGAACCGCTACAATGTAAAATGTAAAACCCCACTTACAAATTGGGTTTGAATACATTTCTCTGGTTGCTTCCAAATCCTTTTTTTTTTTTTTTTTTTTTTCATTTTTATATCTTTAAGTCTCAGGAAAGACTTCAGCATCTGTATATCTGTTTAGGGGCATTAACAGAATCCTATGCTTTTATATCCGTTATTGTATTTGGAACAAAATATCCTTTATGGTCATTTGATATTATATATTTTCTATTTTGTATATAATATGAAATTATATATACATTCTATTTTAGGTCTCATATCATTAAAAAAACAAAACAACAACAGGGACAACAAAAACTTAGCTCTGCTTTTGGCTTTTCTATTTTTGTCAAATTGTTATTTATACTCTGATTCCAAAGACAATTGGAGAAACCTGGGAGCATGACACAAGATTTTATTTTAACCAGTTGCTCTGTCCATTGCTATGGCCTGAATTTTGCACAAGGTAATAGCAGGTGGGGCTGATGCCATAGTTCTCGATTTTCTTTCTTTCTTTCTTTTTTCTTGAGTTTTATTATTCTCATTACTAAATGCCTTGCAATTTGACAAAGAACAGAAGTGATGAGATTATACTAGGACTAGGTTAGCTAGGTTCCAGGATCTGACAACTTTTAGAAAGATTGTATTTAAGAGAGAAATTTTTTAAAAGTCATAAAGAAATCAGTGACAATCATGATCAAGTTTGCAATGCTGTCTCCTAATATAAATGACTGTATGTTGATCTGCCCAAACTCATTGCCCAACTGTTTTTGTGATCCAGGGCAAATATTTGTGAGACAGCTGCCCTGAACTAGGGAAGGTCAAGCAAAACTCACTGCCTGTCTAGAGATGACTGTCCTGATGTCAGTCTCATTAGTTCCGGAGTTCTTGCCAAGGAAGTTAATAAGAACTAGTACAGATCTGGAGGTCAAAGTTTAACAGAAAGAGCCCCCACAGCAGCACGCAAAGAGCTCCTTTTCTGCTCTACTCTTTTTTTCTCTACTGGACACCTAGGGGTGGGTGTGTGTGTGTGTGTGTGTGTGTATGTTTTCAAAACAGTGCTCGAAGGATAGGAAATTAAATGTCTGTGGGAAAAAGCAATATTCTTGTTTCTCAACATTTTAGTCAGCTGCTTTCTTACTTTTCCAGACTGTGACCATTCTTTGAAGCTATTAAAATCTATTCCTGGTAATGAGAAAAGGGAGTGACTTGATGGTTCTTTTCCAATTCCTCTGTGTCTGACAAGAAATACCTAAATATTTTAATTTGCCTCTTAAAACTTCCCTGGTGGTGGCAAAACAATTCTACTTATATTTGTGGGGCCAGGGGTGTGGGGGAAGTCTCTGCTGTGAATTTCTGTGCCGGGAACATATTAAGACAAAAAGCTACTTGGGCTAGCCTGATTCTCCAGGATGAAACAAAAGGAATATAGATGTTGGTGCTGCTTTAACAGTTTGTTAAAGGATCTGGTCTATCTTGGGTGTGGGAGAAGGGAGGGGTAAAGAGGTCAGAATCCCATTTAGATCACAGACAGAAAGAAACCAGGAAGTAAGGGGAAGTTATTACAGTCTGTTCATAGCTCAGAATGTTAAAGGCAACAGCCTCTGCCGGTTGGTTATTCATTAGCAAAAAGGAGAGAGCCGTCCAGATCCAGACCGGTTGAAAGACAGGATCAGACTTGAAACAGAGGGAGAGCTCCTGGTGAAACCAAGGCGTGGAAGTTTTACCTGGGGTTAGTAGCTTCCTCTTGCTAACTTTTTATTGGGACAAAAGGCAAGATGGCACCATTCTGTTCTCAGATATTTGTCTAAATAAAGCCTTTTTAATTTAATTTTATTTTTGTTGTGGGATTCTTAAGCAGATAAGAAGAAAAAACATCTTCCTGCTGAGTAGCTGCCCAGCTCCTGCTCAGTTTTTTTCCAGGTTAGTACCTCCAGCCACAGAAACAAACCAGTAAGTCTCTCCAGGTAGGACTTGCTGCAACCAAGCTGCTGGACTGATCTGAAATGGGTCTTTGCATACTCTTCAAAGTATGGTGAGTTGGTGCTGACTTCAAAGTTGCCTGGTGAAGAAAGAGAAGGTGGATCTGCAGAGACTAAGGGGAGAGGGAGAAGCCCTGCTCCTCTTCTCCCCACCAAGGCGCAATGAGCAACATCTGTCAGAGGCTCTGGGAGTACTTAGAACCCTATCTCCCCTGCTTGTCCACGGAGGCAGACAAGTCAACGGTGATTGAAAACCCAGGGGCCCATTGCTCTCCACCGTCACAGAGGCATGGCCACTACTTTGTGGCTTTGTTTGATTACCAGGCTCGGACTGCTGAAGACCTGAGCTTCCGTGCAGGTGACAAACTTCAGGTTCTAGACACTTCACATGAGGGCTGGTGGTTTGCCAGACACTTGGAGAAAAGACAAGATGGCTCCAGCCAGCAACTACAGGGCTATATTCCTTCTAACTATGTGGCCGAGGACAGAAGCCTACAGGCTGAGCCGTGAGTAGTACAAACGTACCCTTCATTTCCAAACTCTCTGAGGGCTGGGTAATGAATTTTTCTTTCTACTTCTCTACAACCCTCTCATGTCCAAAAAGCTGCCTAGAAAGTATGAGGAAGTACTGGAAAGAAACCACTAATTGAAACAAACCTCCCCCGCTAAGTGAGAGTGAAACCTGTGGGTAATTGTTGTTGAGATGACTTCAATTACAGTATGTACACCCACAGGCCCAGGGTGTATTTTCAATGTAAACAAATGATGTGTTTAATACTCTACCTTTTCTTTGGCTGTAAAATAACTCCTGCCTCACTTTAACAACAAAATTGCATTTTATTTGAAGGTAAATTATAGGACTTCCCTTAATGATATTTTCAAATCTAAACTTCAGATCCTTTTTAAAAAAAACTTTTGAAGCATTCCAGGGTCATACATCAACCTTAGCCCTAGCTCTAATCCTAATTCCCTTCATTCTGATGGGAATATACAGAGCTAATTAACATAGAAGATAGCATTTAGAAGATACTAATGTTCTCAGTGAAATCATAACCTAGACATTTTTTTTGAATTCCCAGATCCTGAGATATGCTGCCCAAATTGTGATATATTTTGGTTTTTATTATGATTAGAAACTGGCCAGCTACAGACATTTAGTAAGTTTTGATAAGAAAAATAATGACATCTCTTTAGAAAAGGACATAAAGACTTTATCCTGGTATTTGAATGAAATATGAATTATAGTGGAACAAAAGAGGAAAGTTTTTATATACTTATCCATCCATCCATCTACCTACCACCCCTCCAAGTGCCAGACATAGACAGCAGTGGGCCTGGTGCTGAGTTGGGGAGGATAAAGGAGGTTGTTCTAGTGGTGGCTGAATACAAAGTGGATAAAGCATAGTCTTGACAATGAATACCTGGGGTCTGCTGGGTTGGGAAGCAAATGCAGACTCTTATTGGCCCTAATCTCATTGCTGCCTGGATCCAGTGAAACCCAAGACTGGGACTGTCTCTCAGAAAATGGACTCATTTTATAGAATGGTTTCTTAATAGGGAAACCATTGGGGATTCTCTCATGTTCTCATGTGAGTGTTTCTTATTTTTATGTGAGCTGCATCATTCCTTACTAGTCCAGGGAATAAAATAATAAGAAATAGCCATGGAGCATTGCTGCTGCTTTCCAAACTCATATATCAAATATGAAGGGAAGTTTGGTGATTTTGGGTTTTTGAGATTCGTTTTAACACCAAGAGCCTATAAATGTTTAGAAGAGTTTTAATTTATGCTTAAATAGAAATAATTGAAATGTACTTTTGATGAATAGAATTGATCAGTTATCAAGTGGGTAAACCACATGTGTGAACATTTGTTTTCTGTGATAATCTATAGGAAGTATCTTTATACATTTAATAAACTTATGTGCATTTATATGTTTTCACTACTATATAATTTCTATGTCCTATATGGCATTATGCATATTTTACATTTGACATAACATATATATAATTATAATAAATAATATATTAATGTTTCATGCCTTGAATTCATAATCTGTTAGTTTTAAATGCATTCAACTATGTAACTACTTAGGACCTCAATTTCCTCATCTGGTCTCTGAGGTTGCCAATACCAATGGATTTCCTGACTATCTGTATGGGAATAGGAGCTCTTATATTTCATATGTAGTAGTTCAGTTACATTCATGCCTGACCTTATTAGAAGCGCTAAAGAAAACAAATTGACTAAAACAAGGCAAGCAATCCAAAGGTATCACATTATGGGTAAAAGGCTTGAGAACAGTGTTCTTTCTTTTCTTTTCTTTTTTTTTATTGCATTTTAGGTTTTGGGGTACATGTGAAGAACATGCAAGATTGTTGCATAGGTACACACATGGCAGTGTGATTTACTGCCTTCCTCCACTTCACTATATCTGGCATTTCTCCCCATGCTCTCTCTCCCCACCTCCCCACCCCCTATCTCTCCCCCATTTTCCCCCAAGAGACCCCAGTGTGTAGTGCTCCCCTCCCTGTATCCATGTGTTCTCATTGTTCAACACCCACCTATGAGTGAGAACATGCAGTGCTTGATTTTCTGCTCTTGTGTCAGTTTGCTGAGAATGATGGTTTCCAGGTTCATCCATGTCCCTACAAAGGACAGAAACTCATCATTTTTGATGGCTACATAATATTCCATGGTGTATATGTACCACATTTTCCCTGTCCAGTCTATCATCGATGGGCATTTGGGTTGGTTCCAGGTCTTTGCTATTGTAAACAGTGCTGCAATGAACATTCGTGTGCACGTGTCCTTATAGTAGAACGATTTATAATCCTTTGGATATGTACCCAGTAGTGGGATTCCTGGGTCAAATGGAATTTCTATTTCTAGGTCCTTAAGGAATCACCACACTGTCTTCCACAATGGTTGAACTAATTTACACTCCCACCAACAGTGTAAAAGTGTTCCTATTTCTCCACATCCTCTCCAGCATCTGTTGTCTCCAGATTTTTTAATGATTGCCATTCTAACTGGTATGAGATGGTATCTCAATGTAGTTTTGATTTGCATTTCTCTAATGACCAGTGATGGTGAGCATTTTTTCATATGTTTGTTGGCCTCATGTACGTCTTCTTTTGTAAAGTGTCTGTTCATATCCTTTGCCCACTTTTGAATGTGCTTGTTTGTTTTTTTTGTGTAGATCTGTTTTAGTTCTTTGTAAATTCTGGATATCAGCCCTTTGTCAGATGGGTAGACTGCAAAAATTTTTTTCCCATTCTGTTGGTTGCCAATTCACTCTAATGACTGTTTCTTTTGCTGTGCAGAAGCTGTGGAGTTTGATTAGGTCTCATTTCTGTATTTTGGCTTTTGTTGCCAATGCTTTGGGTGTTTTGGTCATGAAGTCCTTGCCTACGCCTATGTCCTTAATGGTTTTGCCTAGATTTTCTTCTAGGGTTTTTATGGTGTTAGGTCTTATGTTTAAGTCTTTAATCCATCTGGAGTTAATTTTAGTGTAAGGTGTCAGGAAGGGGTCCAGTTTCTGCTTTCTGCACATGGCTAGCCAGTTTTCCCAACACCATTTATTAAACAGGGACTCCTTTCCCCATTGCTTTTTTTTTTCAGATTTGTCAAAGATCGGATGGTTGTAGATATGTTGTGTTGCCTCCGAGGCCTCTGTTCTGTTCCATTGGTCTATATCTCTGTTTTGGTACCAGTACCATGCTGTTTTGATTACTGTAGACTTGTAGTATAGTTTGAAGTCAGGTAGTGTGATGCCTCCTGCTTTGTTCTTTTTGCATAGAATTGCCTTGGCTATGCCAGCTCTCTTTTGGTTCCATATGAAGTTTAAGGTGGTTTTGTCCAGTTCTGTGAAGAAGGTCATTGGTAGCTTGATGGGAATAGCATTGAATCTGTAAATTACTTTGGGTAGTATGGCCATTTTCACGATATTGATTCTTTCTAACCATGGACATGGAATGTTTCTCCATCTGTTTGTGTCCTCTCTGATTTTGTTGAGCAGTGCCTTGTAGTTCTGCTTGAAGAGGTCCTTTATGCTCCTTGTTAGTTGTATTCCTAGGCATTTTATTCTCTTTGTAGCAATTGTGAATGGCAGTTCGTTCTTGATTTGGCTCTCTTTAAGTCTGTTATTGGTGTATAGGAATGCTTGTGATTTTTGCACTTTGATTTTGTATCCTGAGACTTTGCTGAAGTTGCTTATCAGTTTCAGGAGATTTGGGGCTGAGACGATGGGGTCTTCTAGATATGCAATCATGTCGTCTGCAAATAGAGACAATTTGACTTCCTCCTTTCCTATTTGAATACCCTTTATGTCTTTTTCTTGCCTGGTTGCTCTGGCTAGAAATTCCAGTACTATATTGAATAGGAGTGGTGAGAAGTGGTATCCTTGTCTAGTGCCAGATTTCAAAGGGAATGCTTCCAGTTTTTGCCCATTCAGCATGATAATGGCTGTTGGTTTGTCATAAATAGCTTTTATTATTTTGAGATACATTCCATCAATACCTAGTTTATTGAGGGTTTTTAGCATAAAGGGCTGTTGAATTTAGTCAAAGGCCTTCTCTGCATCAATTGAGGTAATCATGTGGTTTTTGTCTTTGGTTCTCTTTGCAGGGTGAATTATCTTTATAGACTTGCGTATGTTGAACCAGCCTTGAATCCCTGGGATGAAGCCTACTTGATCATAGTGGATAAGCTTTTTGATGTGTTGTTGCAATCGGCTTGCCAGTATTTTATTGAAGATTCTTGCATCTATGTTCATCATGGATATTGGCCTGAAGTTTTCTTTTCTTGTTGAGTCTCTGCCGGGTTTTGGTATCAGGATGATGTTTGTCTCATAAAATGATTTGGGAGGGATTCCCTGTTTTTGGAATATTTGGAATAATTTCAGAAGGAATGGTACCAGCTCCTCTTTGTATGTCTGGTAGAATTCAGCTGTGAACCCATCTGGACCTGGGCTTTTTTTGGGTGGTAGGCTCTTAATTGCTGCCTCAACTTCAGACCTTGTTATTGGTCTATTCAGGGTTTCAACTTCTTCCTGGTTTAGGCTTGGGAGGAGGCAAGTGTCTAGGAATTTATCCATTTCTTCCAGGTTTACTAGTTTATGTGCATAGAGCTGTTTGTAATAATCTCTGATGGTGGTTTGAATTTCTGTGGAATGTGTGGTGATATCCCCTTTATCGTTTTTTATTGCATCAATTTGGTTATTCACTCTTTTCTTTTTTATTAATCTGGCTAGTGGTCTATCTGTTGATCTTTTCAAAAAACCAGCTCCTGGATTTATTGATTTTTTGAAGGGTTTTTTGTGTCTCTATCTCCTTCAGTTCTGCTCTGGTCTTAATTATTTCTTATCTTCTGCTAGGTTTTGAGTTTTTTTGATCTTGGTCCTCTAGCTCTTTCAATTTTGCTGCTAGTGTTTCAATTATAGAGCTCTCTTTTCTTCTCATGTGGGCACTTATTGCTATATATTTTTCTCTAGAGACTGCTTTAA